TAGGTATACCTTCTTTGAAACATTTATTTTAAAGAGTATGAGGAATACTAATATCTAATGCAATAAGATGAATGCTATTTTTAAACTTTTGTGTGTTGCCCTAGCACATAGATGTCGAACCTTTTGAGCTCGGCGTGTCAGCATTTTGAAAAACCCTACCTTAACTCTGGTGCCGTGTCACATATAGAAATTTTTTGATATTTGCAACCATAGAAAAACAAAGATTTATATTTTTGATATTTATTTCATATATTTAAATGCCATTTAACAAAGAAAAATCAACCAAAAAAATGAGTTCGCGTGTCACCTCTGATATGCGTGTCATAGGTTCGCCATCACTGGTCTAGGATAAGAAGTCTGACAGTGCAGTGAGGTGGTGAGGGGTTGACTGCCTGGCCTCTCTGGGGCTTGATACTTGCCTAACACAGTGTCCATCCTCTGAAGGAATGCGGGGAACCTGGAAGCCTGTAATAAAGAACTTCATTTCTAGAAACCCCTGTCACTACAGAGCACTTTTCTGGGGATTATTCACAATAAACCTGAATGCTAGAGTCTGGGCTATGACCTCACACAGAGGCCCATTTACTTCTCAGCTGCCATTCATAGGCTGAATCCCAGTAGCACTTTGCATTTTGAAGAACTGAGGTAGGAATAACACATTTCCCACTTAGCAACTCAGCTTCTGGGTAGTCAGCCTGCAATGAAACCAATGGGCTGAATTGTAGGTGGCATACATGTTTCCATAGCAGCAGTGTGATGTACTACACATAGAATAATGACTTAGCTGTGGGGCTTGGTGAAGGCAGCTTTGAGGCAATGAAGAAACAATAAAAATGCATTTTTCCACAATACCTTATAGTTTAGTATATATTTTCACATTCCTGATCACATTTGAATGGGCAGCACTCAGACCTAGGTCTGAAAAAGAAAGCCAGGAGGCAGAAACACACTCACACATTCAATCACACACACACACACACACACACCATATTAACATACACAAACACTCTTCAATACACTGATGAATTTACTCACACATATATACACACTGACATACACTCACATGCACATGCTCAGACATTCACATATGCACATGAACATAGCTAAACATCCACACACAAACATGCTCACATCCACAATCACACTCACAAATTCATTCACATACATAAACATTCACACACATGAAATTATTCATTCAGTCACATACACATACTCCCACATTAACACACAAACAGACTCATGTATTCACTTACACATGAGCACACTCATTCACACACACAAGCATGTCCACATATTTATCAACTCACACAAATATCCTCACACAAAAACATGCTCACTCATTAATACATATAAGCATCAGCATGCACAAATGCACATATTGACATGCTCAAAATTCACTCATACCTGCAAAGTGATATACTAACTCATATGAATTTGCTCATGAACTTACTTGGACATCAGCATGGCCACACATTTACTCACACACAACCACACTCACGTAGACTCATACTCAATTACACTCACAGACATGCTCACACATTCACTCAAGTACATAAATATGCTTACGTACACATATATATAATGAATGTGAATATATGTGTGATAACTTATTACAGTTATTTCTTGCATATGCACAAGGTAACACACACAAATATTCACATATTCACACAATGAACATGCTCACTCACCCAGACACATACAATCACACACTCATAAGTTCACTTACATCCCCAAATATTCACTCACACACATACAGAGTCACTCATGCAAAAATGTTCATAAAAGCACACATTTATACATTCCCTCCTATATGCACTTAA